CTGGGTAGAGATGACCATGTTCCACAGATGCTTTCCCACCTATCTTATGGACTCAGGCTAATGCAGTGCTCCAGGTGTAACTCTAAGGGTTGGGACTCAGCTCTCTGCCCTTCTACCCTGGAATCTCTAGATCATCGTTATTCAGTGGGAGCACAGCGGCTACGGTTCCTGTCCTAGGGTGGCTCTCTTTGCTGGGATTGTTCTTTGACATCAGCCTCTGATGGAATCAGCCTCTCCCAGAAGAGGTTCTCTCCCAGCATTGTATGGTAGCTGTAGATGATGATTAAAAATAAAAAAAAATTTGCAGAACAAGAAGGCAGTAGGGAGTAGGGGCAGTGGATTCAAAATCCCACTCCTAACCAAGACTCTATTTGCAATTGATAGCATTTGGGAGAGGGAAAATGAGTTTTCTTCAAGGGAGTGACATTAGATATATCAACAACACTCCAGGGAAGATCCCACACTGGGCAGGAGTTAGGCAACATACATTGGATGCCATGATTTTGTGGATTTTTTTAAGAGATAAAATAAATATGAAATTGGGTGGTTAGGGAGGTGAGGAAGAATCTGGGAAGAACTGAGAAAAGAGAAAGAATATGCTCAAAATATATGGTAGGAAATTCTCATAGAATAAATAAAAAAACCATAAAAAGCAGGAGGCCAGTACTAAAAAAGATCCACATGTGTGGCACTGAAGGAGATGGCATCCCTGTGTACCGTGTTTCCTGGCTGTTTTGTCTTTAGCTGGCGGTCAGAAAGTATTCTTAGAGTTGGGCCCCAGTTCCTGAATTTGCTACATTTCTAGCATCCCCTCCTCTTCCACCATGCTCCCCTTCCCCTCTTTTTCCTAGGATGGACTTTCTTTGACATATGTTCCTACCCTTTCCACTTCCTGTCACAAAGAGTTTCACACAGGGCTTTGCAAACCAGGGCTATGCAGGTTTTGATCTCTGCCTTCTAGAAATGTAAACCTCCCTGAAAGAAAGGAGTTTAACACAGGCAGCAACTGGAAATCACAGTCAGATGGACACAGAGCTTAAGGGATGCTTTGTAAAAGGATGTCGGGGGGTGCTGTCGGGAATAAGGGAGAACCTTGGAATCAGCAACCTAGGGAGCTATTAACACTGTTAAACCTTAAAGGGAGAAAAAGACAGAACTGAGTGCAGGGCAGGTTATGACTGTGGAGGAGCAACCAGGAGGGAACTGTCCACATAAGAGTGCCATCTCGCTCCATCCTCTCTCGGCTCCATCAGTCACTGACCTACAATCTCTTCCAATGATCTACATTTAACCCTTCATTCTCTCCATCAAAAGGCTTCATTCTTCCCACTTGGTAGCATAGGAAGAAGCCCAGGAAACTGGCTTTGTGCATTGTCTTACAAACCAACATCTCAGGCTTTGTTGAAGTGATCCTGGAAGATTTTTTTCCACTCAAAAGGGTGCTGAATATTTATCATAGTTCACCATACTCACAACTGGTAATGAAGGAGCGGTTGGAGAATGGATGGAGAAAAGACTGCCCGTTCCTACAGTGTCCTTCCAGCCAGCAGGACTGTGCCCCATCTCCTCACACCTCACTGCGGTGACTGAAGATTTTCCTCCCAAGAAAACCCCTAGATTGACTCTTGTACAGAAGTAGTACATTTTCTGTTCAATGACTTGTGAAACAACAATTCAGCCAATCCTGCTAATAGTTGTGATCAAGAAAGTAACCGGATACTGGTTGTGTGAATGACCCAGGATGCAGCGCCAACCCTAAACTGCTATTTTCAATCCCTGATCTTCCCTCATGTCCTCATCTCCCACGATGAGGGACAGACCCTTTCCAGCCTGCTATAAGCAACTCAGGAAGTGGAGGTGGGGACTAGAATCAGAGACCTTTTTTCTTTTCTTTTGAGAGCTGTTTGTTTTGAGATGAAGTCCTGCTATACATCCCAGACTGTCTCAAATTCTCAACACTGCCTCTTCCTCACAAATGATGAGTCTCTGACACCGCGGACCCAGCTAAGAAAAGTGGCTATATCTTTGCTCTTTAAGAGAATGTGTAGCACACACTAGAGTATTTGACTACTCACTTTCACCTGCTCATCTGTAAAGATATAACAAGGTTTAGTATATGCCTCACCATCAAAATTTACATCTTAACTCTGCCTTTGTGGCAGAGTCACTGTAGATATCTTTACTGAAAATGAGGTTATACATAGTTGGGTAAGTTCTTATCTACCTGGCTTGTTTTCTTATAGTCAGTGAAATTGGGATGCAAACCAGAATGTTCTACTGATAAGGCAGAGACCAGTATGAGGTATTTACCAACCACAGAGGGTTAAAGACTGTGAGCAACCTTCAGAAAGCAGGGGAGAGTCACAAGACTGGTACCTTCTTGACCAGCCTTCCTCAGAACTGAGAGACAAATAGGTCTGTTCATGGCCCAGGACTGCAGTTCTCTGTAATGGCAGCTACAGCAAATAAATACAGTTTGAAACCTGGTGCTTCAAGCATACCTGAAGGAGAATCCAGGCCATCAAACCTTAAGTCAATTATCCAGAATAGTTAACAGCCGTAGATTCTCACTTTAATGACCCTTGCCAAATCATGCTCGTAGAACTGACCGCCTTGGTAAAGGTTTACATACGTGACTTAAACCATATTCCTGTTCTTCACCCCCTTATTTACCTGTGGGGTGGGGTGACAAGGGAGAGGAGAACAGGTGCACAATGCCCAGCAAAAAGAGGGAAGCAGAAGGAGGCCAGAGAGTACAGAAAATACAATCATTATAATAGTCAGACAAACAAACAGAAAACTAAGGACAAAGAAAGCCTGGAGAAATTCAGAGAGAAATTTAAAATGGAAGGCAGGTTAACACCAACCAACCAAAACCAGGAAGACAAGACGGATCCTAAGGGAGCCCAGCCAAGAGGTTCTGAATTCACATCAAACATTACTTCTGTCTCCCAGGAAGCTCCCCTGTTAAATGGTTCAAGACAGCTGCATTTGGCTAGAACAGCATGGGATCAACGAAAAGCACACAAATCACAAAAACCTCCCACTGATTCGTAGATAATATTGTAGCAGTTGTGCAAATTCTTCCCCCGTCTCTGCTAAATTCTGTATTTCATCCCACTGAACCCTGTGCATACAGAATTCCGCCAAAATGGTTGTATGACTGTCATGGAAAACACATTTAACAAAAATGAAGCTCGATTAGACTTGAAGAGTTCATCCTTCAAGCCTCTTTGCCCAACTCCTCAGAACAGGGCTGCCACCTGGCAAACAGCGTAGGGTCAGAAACCAGTGAGGGCGCTGGCAGGTGATCAGTCAGCCTTGTTCAGAATATTCCAAACAACTGCCTGAATATTACTTTATAAGCTTCTGGAGTTTAACTTAATAGATGTCTAATATTTTAAATGCGTTTCAAGTCCACATGCTTTCAGTTTTCACACAGAGGCTCATAGTGTGTGTGTGTGTGTGTGTGTGTGTGTGTGTGTCCTGTCTTGGTAATACATGAGAAGTCGGATATGATTTCAGTTCATACTAAATAGCAATGCCATAACCTGTCACCTAGGTAGGCCCTGTTGAGATGAGTACGACACGCCCCAGGGGTTGCCTGCTGTCCAGCTATGGAAGGCTACCAGCATTGTCCTTATATACAACTTCTGACATGAACCCAAGATACTTGAAACCCTACTTTCCCTTTGCAGCCAAAAAATGACCATCTGAGCCCATCTAGAATTCTGAGCTCCACTCTATTAATGGACATGCAACACTAACACTTTAAACCTGCAGTGACTTACACAGCTTTATCTAATATTATCTAGTACCTATCTTTCAAGGTATGTGTCATTTAATAAGCTTTTAAATATTTTGTCTACAAGAAGAGATGGGAGAGTTAGATGTCAATATATTTCACTTTCTATTTTCAGAAAAACACAAATACACTACCCAGAAGTCAGACTGAGTTTTATATCACAATGGAATTAATGAATTAATGATGATTTTATCTGAGTTTCTTGTTTGTGTGTGTGCATGTGTATGTGTGTGTGTGTGTGTGTGTGTGTCCATTTTAAGCCAACCAAGCCCAGTTAGTGTTGCCATTATGAATACAGGTATGGGATCATCCACTAAGGCATGGGCAGCCTATCAATGGCCGCACCATGGAAGAAAAAGGACTTTCCCTTCTCAAGCAGCCATCAAATGCCAATAGCTCCTCAGTTGGGGGTGGGGCCTCAGCAGCCCCTCCCCCATCAGTGCTGGACCCTTTAGCTGTCTTCATTTTAAGTAGGTAACCACAACTGCTGTTGAGCTTATGTATGCAATAGCCATGACGTGGCCAGAAGACAGCATTTCATGATTGTTTAGAAACAGGCCTCACTATGTAGCCCAAGCTGGCCTTGAACGTTTAATTCTATGATTGCGTGCATACTGGTACGTGCTACCGTGCCTTGCTTGAGTTTGTTGGCATAGAGTTTAGTTTGGGATTTAAGTCATGATGTTCATTAGAGATTTCCTAACCTTTTTCTTCTGATTTTTACCCTAGCTCAATTCTAGCTCTCCAGTGTTCATTTCAATAGTCCCTTCCCTGCTGGCTGAAGGGATAAGAGCCCCTGGGAAATATGCAAATCCAAAGGGCAGGTAGCTAGGAACCACCACCCAATCCCAGGGCCTCAAGACCTGTGGCCAATGCAGGACTTCATGGCACCTTAGGGACTCTCGGGTGTTTCATTAAAGGAAGGGCTGTTCAGGAGTAGAAAATGGCTGCTGGGAATTTGTGGCAATCCTAACTTAGAGACTTTGCTGTTCAAGGCATGCTGAAAGCTAGTTGTTTATTCCACGAAGACTGGACTAACTGGGTTAGGAGACTGTGAACAGGACACAATTCTCCCACAGGCTGTTCTCTGCAGATTGGCTCCCACCCTACCTGCCTTTCACCTTACCGGTTACCACCAGCTCTCAGTTGTCCACCCTATGTGGGCTTTATAGAGGTTTCATGGTCATTTCCCATTCCCAGCCTTCATCTCCCCTCTGGTCGCTCTATGACATGGACAGCATCTTCTCCATCTTCCCATCATTCTCCTTCTTCCTGCCCACACTAGTGGCTTTGCATTCATATCTTCATCCTGGACCTCTGTCCTGAGCATCTTCTTCTAGGTGTGAATTCTGTAAGGTTTGCTTCTTAGTCACCTCCAAATTTTTGGCACTTGTGCTCAGGGATGGACAAGGAAGGAAGCAGCCTGTCTGGGTATTTTTTGCTTTTCAATGGACATTTAAATGGATTCTCATCATGAAGGATGTTTTCCCAGTCTTTCGTCATTTGCAAGTACCTTAGACAATTTATTCTCCTCAAGCAGACAGAAGCATTAGATCAGCTGTCACAGAGCACAGCGGGTGGGAACAAAGGGTTAATTGGGTGGCAGCAGGAAAAGCAGGCAGCTCTCCAGTCGTGTGTCACTGTATCTCATGCTCCTGGAGGAAACACGTAGACATTTAGCAAGGGGGAATTTGAAATAAAAGGACTAGACATTGATTTACTGACAAGCATTTACATTCTGTCTTTAGTACTTGAAGTTCCCTAAATTTTCTGAATATCAAATCTACTTACACAAACCAAAATAAAAAGTCTAAATGAAATAGAACGATGTTTTCTGAGATGCTGAAATGCCCCTAAGCTTCTACAGCTGTGGACACGTGAGACACTTTCATAAGCATGGATTGCCTCGATGGAATGTTTTTTATCCTTTCTTGTCTGTATCTAAAATGCTATGTGAGTCTGGAAAACAGCCATAAAACTGACATTTTGATAAATCCTACATGTTTTTCTTAAAATTAAGAAGAGGGGAATGCCAAATCTCCGACGGGAAAACAAATAAATCAATAAACAAGCTAGGCAGGTAGAGTCAAACAAATTATTAGTAAATAAGGGGAAAAATCTCCAACGCAGAAGTGATGAAAACTGAAAATGGGCAAAAACCCACAATTGGCAAAGCCAAACAAGTCAACAAAAAGAAAACTATAGGAAGTCAGAAGAAAAGAGAATTGAATATAATCCATTTTTTCCTCAAAATTAAAGTACTGTTCGGTATAACCTTGAAGGATAAGCTGACACAGTTTTGGATGAACTCATTCTCTGGTATACTGTCCAGTTCAACATCCTCTTAAGCAGGACAAAACCTGTAAATGAACACATGGTGTCTAGAAGCTATGAGCTCTACATTCTAGTTACTTAACAGTGGTTGTCCTATCCAGGCGAATACCTTTATTTTACAGACTGAATCCTCAAGGGAAACGTCAGAGGTTCTCTCACACGCTAATGGTGGAAAGGGCCTCCCGACACCCACTTCCTTGGTCACTTCCCTGGCCATTGTGAATTCATCATTATCAACATCCTCACCTGTATCCCACTCAGATCCCTCAGCCCCGCGAGATGGACCTCATCTTTACACCAGCAGCATCTTAAACAGACGTCCAAACATGTGGGAAGAATAAGCCAGTCCTAGAACTCAGCCTCCGAGTCCACACTCTGAGACCCTGGGTCACTTTCTGCCAGTTTGATCAAATAATTTAAGCTAAACAATCTGATTTATGGTGAACACCTACCTGGGTGTCTTTTCTCTTGACTGATTTAATCTGTCCTCTTTTGCTCTAACAGACCATAACCATGAATAGAATATTTTTTTTCTTAGTCCCAGGAGTTTTTCTAGATCATCGACCCTAAGGGTGGCTTGAGGAACCAACATTCACAGCTCCCTGTTGTTATTCTAAGAAATTTAGTGCTGGTAAAAAAAAAAAGCATGGTGGCATTAAACAGCATGAACATATTGCCCTGCAGTTCTCAAGGTCAGAAATCAAGAATAGATTAGAGCAAGCTGCATTCCCTCCGGGGACTCAAGGGGAAATCTACTTCACTGCCCCTTCAAGCTCACAGATGATATATGGTGCCTTGGCTCACGGTTCTTCACACCTAGCAGCATAGACCTCTCCCCCTCCACTTTGAGTCTCTGTGCTCCTCCATTGGTCAATACATTAGCTTAAAACTTCCTTCTGACCCTCTGTACCACCCCTGTTTCATAGGAAACCCAGTGATCACATTGGACCAACTCAGGCAATCCAGTATACTGTCCCCAACTCAAAAATTCTTGACTTGTAATGTCCTCATTACCATTCAATGCCATGTTTTTCTAGATTCTAGGAATCAAGACATAGACTTACCCGGATAGCAGGAAGGGGCATGATCCAGCCTGTTAGTCCACGCCACGAGGTGAGGATCACAGTGACTACCTTTCCATCTACTTTCTGGATGGCTTTGGAACATCCCTCATCTCTCTCCCATAAGTTCACTCAGATATTTCTTTGGCTTCTCCGGAATAGCCTTTATAGTTCCCATGTCTACCCATAGGAGATGGGGAAAAAAGACAAAGCAGGAGGGCTTGCCGTGTCTATGAACGCTGCAGCCGGTATCTCCTTGGAGAACACGGAACTCTCACTTCGACTGTGTTTAGAAGCTGCATCATTTAAAGCCAAGATGACCACTGCCAACAAGGTCACTCAGCAAATCTCTTATATGGGACATTCTTGACCACACCCTTATCCACAAAAATAGCATAATATTTTCTTAAGGGTCAAGGTTCTTTGGCTTAAAGAAAAAAAATGTTGATTTCTTCAGGAAGAAAAGCAAAATAACATTTTCTTTTCACCTCCTGTAATTATTGCTGCACGTCCCCCATCTTCAGCATCCTTACAGAAAACGTCCATTTCCACAAACTCCCCAAAGGATCGATTAAGCAGAGAACTCTAAACCTAGGCATCATTACCATCATGACATGAGTCAGATACTCCCAAACTGTGCTTATGTCTCTTCAGAACCTTTCTTTGTCAACGCATTCTGGGATATGTATTTATCCTCCCAATAAACCGAATAAAGACAGTTCCAGAACGTCCGACTCCCGGGTAGCTGGTAAGAGCGCAGGATGCCTTCAGACCAAAGTCAACAATTGCTGGCAGAGTCAATGTATTGGGAATGAGGACAGGTTCATGTGAAGATAAAAAGAGCCCATACTTTGGAGGGCTGTGAACCTAGTTAATCACTGTCTGGGCACATTGGAAAAGGCCAAAATACACAGTCTCCTAATTGCCCCCATTTGTCTGGTTAGTTGTCTGCATTGCAGCGAAAGGAGCTCGGGAGTCGTGGTTCTGCCATCCAAAGCCCTTGAGGACAATCAGACTTCAGGGACAGGGTTGATGAAGCTTTGAGCCTTACAGGGCTATTTCCCTGTAACCCACTCAGAGTACAATTGATTGAATGTTTGGGGTCATTTACATTGTGCAGCTGGGGTCACCACACGCTTAATCCTGGAGGAAAGCGAAGTAAAGTTGGCCCCGAACGCATACGGCTCGCAGCCAAGTTTTGAACAGCTGAAGGTACAGCCACGATCTGATGCCCGAGTTAAAACACGCAAACAAAATTGGAATACGCTTCTTTGATTTGTTCTGCTTTCCTGCAGGAGGTCGGAGAGGTTTGTCACAGCATTCAGGTTTGCTTTCGTGAGTGACCACACAATACCTGTGATGGTGCACCACCTCCAAATGTTCAGGCCATCCCCTTGGATAATTGGCCCTGTTTTAAAACCTGATGAAATTGCGCTTGTCAGTGTATAAGCCTTTGCCAGAGGGAGAAGGTCCGTGAACTGAAAGACGCGCCTTCAGAATTTTCAAAAGGATGGCAAATTTAGTCAAATTGGGCAAAAGTGAATCAAATTTCACAAATTTAAGAATGTTTATGTAAATCTTTAAAACATATGTTGCCACAGCTGTGTTTAGCATAAAATTACGGTGAAAATAATTCTAATGAAAATGATGGCGTATTTATATAATGCCTGCCATCCACAAGCGCCAAACCTGCTACACAGCCGACCTCATTAGCCTGACTAAACCCCTTTGAGCTACAACGTAAATATTAGCTCCACTTTGCAGATGAGGACGGCAGGATGTGGGCAAGTTTGTGCCCAGCTAAGTAGGTCAGGCTGGAAGCGGCCTGACTCTCCTGCCTCAGTAGTAAATTATTCTCTGAGCCAGATTTCGTGAGAGGATCCCTTTCCTGCACACTTCCAGCAGGGACTTTCCCTGCCCTTAGGATGGGAGAAGGAAGAATTGAAGAACATCTACTTCCATCCAGCTGTGAATCAATCATCTTGCTAAAAATCAACTTATATACACAGGCAGAGTCACCATCTCCATGCGTGCCAGTGAGGGTGAGCGTTGAGAGAAAGGCCAAAAGCTTTGCAGTTTTGTTATGTTGATGTGGCATTGAACACATCAGAAAAGGCTAATCCAGGGTCCAACACAGACAGGGCAGTCAGCTCTGCATCCTACCTGATTGTTTTCACCTTTGTCTCAGCCCTTGTTCTGCTGCTGAGTAGGCTAAGTGAATGACAACTCCAATAACAAGGGCAGGGGAGAGAGACAGAGGGAGAGAGTCAGAAAGAGCTGGAGAGGCAGAGACATATTAACACTGATCCAACTCTTTGTTCCAGGAACACAAGTACCAAGGAATGCCATCAGATGCTCCATCTATCATCTGGTGGTGGGCTCCTTCTGGACCACAACACTGTAGAACAAAGCTAGCACCCAAGGGATTATGTCACCATTTTATCGGAAGCCTGCTATCTAGACAATTAACCCACTCCTGTAAAACTTTACTGCATCCCAGGTGATGATGGCCCTGTATCCTAATGTCTTAAAGGCCCTGCATCTTTTTGGTTTTGCTGCTGCTTTGTTTTTTAATTGATTTTATTGAGCTAGACACTTTTCTCTGCTCCCCTTCCTTCCTCTCCCCTCCCCTTCTACCTCTCCCATGGTCCCCATGCTCCCAGTTTACTCAGGAGACTTTTATCTTTTCCTACTTCCCATGTAGATTAGATCCATGTATGTCTCTCTTAGGCTCCTCATTGTGGTCTAGGTTTTCTGGGATTGTGATTTGTAGGCTGGTTTTCTTTGCTTTATGTTTAAAAACCACTTATGAGTGAGTATATATGATAATTATCTTTCTGGGTCTGGGTTACCTCACTCAATGTGATGTTTTCTAGCTCTATCCATTTAAGGCCCTACATCTTCCTGGTCTTTTCAGTGATAATCAGGTCTTAAGGTGAGTTGTAGAGGAGACATTCCAGTCACGAAGCCAGGGACATAGGAATGACCTTCTGGGGTCGGCTCCTTCGGTTTGGCCAGCTGAGCACTGTCCTGTCCTAAAGCTGGATCTCCTGTGTTTAGTCCAACGTCCACACACGTAGCAGTTCAGTTCCCATGAGTCTCCATGGGCTTCTGCCAATGAATTGTCAGTTTCTGTATACCTCATCCTCCTGTTCATACTCTTGCAAGGTGCCCACGTATGCACTTCCTTAGCGTGTGAGGTTCAAACGCACATGGAAGAACCCGCAAAGCTCCCGCACACTGGAGACTTACCAAAGCACTAATGTGACTCCATTTCCAGCTGTAGATTTTTGAGTTACTGTCGTAAAGCAAAAGAGAAGTTTTTGCTTAATCTCTGCCAGTCGGTGTTGATGTTAAGTGTGTTCTTTCCAAATTCAATAAAAAATGGCCTTCCTTCCATTCAGGGAAAAATCAGGCAGTCATTTTTTTGCCAAAATGTAAGTCTGCCCAGAAAAAGGTATTCTCTAGAAACAGAGAAGAAAAACAGGTCCCTGCAAATGTCTGATCGTCTTTATCTGCATTTGAATTCTCAGAGTCCCACAGATATTTAATTTTAGTAAAAATGAATTGACCTACCCAAGAAGTGCAGGTCTGACTGCCAGACAGCTTTTCTCAATGAGTGGGATGGAGACTGTGCTGGGAGGAGGGAATCTGGGCCCTTCTGCAGGCAGATCCGGCTTGCTGGTCCCTCCTTGGCTGTCCGTTTATCAAGGACCTAAGAAACACCACTCCTTCCACCCAGATCTTAGTTTTATCATAAGGAAGACGGTCTCACCACCTCCTTCGTAGACACATCTTCTAAATAAGTAAATGTTACCAAAATCAGTGGGGTTTTTCCTATGCATTGTGTGTGTGTGTGTGTGTGTGTGTGTGTGTGTGTGTGTGTGTGTGTGTGTTGGCTAGATACACCAAGACATTCGGAACAGTTTTCTCTTATAAGCAAGATAATAAACAATTTCCATATTTGCACTTTTCCAAATTGACCATTCTTTGTAAATGAGGGGTTTGAACTCTTTTCCCTTAATGCAGGGAACTGAACCTCAGCAATCACACATGCTAAGCAAATGCCTCAGCTTTTGGCTCCATCCCCTGTTTCTTTGCTTTGATTTTGAGAACAGGTACTCACTGAGGTGCCTAAGTTGGCCTGGAAATCACTCTGTAGCTGAGATAGGCCTTGAACTTATGACTGTGTTACGCTAATAAGCCTCCTGAGTAGCAAGACTCCAAGCCTATGCCAACAAGTCCAGATGGACACTTTTTAAGTTAACTTTAAAAAATCACTGTGTGTGTAGATCTATTGTTGTGAAAATCAAGATCAAGTCATAAATATTTATCATCCTAAGAAGAAGAGCAACTGGTGGTAGCTAGTCTATTATCTTTAGTTGTACAGAATAAGGCTCAGAGAGACTTCTCCCTAAGGTTCTAACTGAACTGTAACCGGGCCCCACTTCCTGATAAACTGAGCCACCTCTTGCAGTTAGGATGGAAGTTTTGCTATATGGCCCCAAGTGTGTTGCTCAAGACTCTTCTTTGCCTGCCTTCCTGAAGGTGTCAACTCTTTGATTACTTCTTGTGGACCTAGCAGTGAAACACTTGCCTTGGGGAGGAGCCCCCTGAGAAGGACAGACTTGCAAGTTGTTATCCACCTAAGAGTGGAACACCCGGGAAATTTTATGGGTGTTATCGGTTTGGAGGACCTTGCAAGTGCTCCTATGTCTGAGACTTAAAGGTCCCAACAATGAGAGTCTGAGAAGCAGGAATGGGACTAGACAGAGGCCACTAAGGTACTTGATCTCAGGCATCAAGTTTAAGGGATGGCCTCAAATTCGATAACCAAAACATTATTTTAAAGTACAACCTTTAAAAAACAAAGTTAGTGAGGGAAAACCTATGTTGGGGCCATCAAGTCCCTAAGTGAAAAGCTTTGTTAGACCAGATAGCATTTATTTTCTCTTTGTTCCTGCTCCTGGGAGAGGCCTCAGGCAGGAGCTCCTTTGGCTGTTTGTACTAAACCATTTCAACCATGCTTGAGTTTATACTAATTAAGTGGGTCCCTGCATAGCTTCAGGACAGGGTGTGTGGGGGGTGGTCAGCAGAGGAACCGTGATGAGACTGGAGTCTCCTCGAGAGAAGAGGAGGGGCCTACAGATTGCGTTTAATTACCAGCAGCTAGGGGTGCAATCAAGCAAGAGCATCTAAATGATGTCATTCGGGAAGCTTCCGGTGGGTGAAAGCAAAGGGGCACTGGGCTGCCTAGGAGGGCTCTGCATCTATCCCGGCCACTGCTAACACCCACCTCTTCTGTTTGGCTCTTCCTCTGTGGTCTCTTCTATAATAAACCAGGAGCAGACTGTAAAGGGCCCTCCTAAATTCTACGGCGCATTCTGGTGAATTAAGAAACTCAAAGAGACAGGGCAAAGACCCCTGAATTGCTGTCTGGTGGGGCAGCAGTGTTGAGGAGCTGTGGCCTTCCTCTTCTAGCTACCATCTGAAGTCCACACTAACTCCAGCAGTGGGTGTCAGAGTGGA